CGCGAGAAGACAGCTCTTCCAGATCTTACCACCGTCATGGATTCGCGGACGGAGCCTGCTACTGTTGGGCCCAAGACTACTGTCAGAGAAGTTGCCAAGCTTATGAAGGAGAGGCGCACGACCGCTGTATGCGTTATGGAGTCGCCCAGCACCTCTATGGGTGGTACGGCTGCGACGCCACGTATCGCCGGCATCTTCACGAGTAAGGATGTTGTCTTACGAGTCATCGCCGCTGGCCTCGATGCAGGTCGATGCAGTGTCGTACGAGTCATGACACCACACCCCGATACTGCGCCTCCGACCATGACTGTTCATGATGCTTTGAAAAAGATGCACAGTAAGTACATAGCGCGTTGTCTATGGGGTAGCGCTAATGATGTTTTGTCAGACGGACATTACCTCAACTTGCCTGTTATCGAGACGGATGGCCGTTTAATCGCCATCGTGGACGTTTTGAAGTTGACCTATGCCACCTTGGAGCAGATGAACGCGATGAGCGCTGAGGCTGCTGGCGGTGCTGAGCCAGAAGGTGGCCCGATGTGGGGTCGTTTCTTCGAGTCGCTCGGACACGACGACAATGAGTCTGCTGTGTCTGGTTCTGCCGCCCACACTGAACAGTCTCGCAACCAGACTCGGAGCACGTCCCACCTCATGCAGTCTCCTCACTCTGAGCTGCACCCCAACGACTCTGCATCCGTCGTGGATGAAGATGACGGTTCTGTACTTGATGCATACTCTCGCAGGAAAGGCGATCCTCCTTCCATTATCGGTGCGCAGTCAATCGCTCCGGACGACGGGACTTATGTATTCAAGTTCCGTACACCGAGCGGCCGTACCCATCGGTTCCAGGCGCGTCACGACGATGTTGAGGTCTTGCGGGAGATCGTATCTGGCAAGCTTGCTACCGATCCGTTCTTCACCCAACACAAGGTCGTGGATGATGGTGACGTGTCCCCTAACCCTACCGACTTCCTTCTTTCCTACACGGACGCCGACGGTGATAGCGTGCTTGTGACATCGAACGCTGATGTTACCGACGCTGTCAAGATCGCACGGAACGCAGGCGAGGACCGTGTCGTCCTCTTGGTCCAGGGCGGCAAGGGCTGGGAAGATGCTACCGCCGAGCGGAGTGCGAAGCAGGCTGAGCAGGTCGCTGCGGCTGCGCAGGAAGAGGTTAAGGCTATCGAAAAAGAAGCGACGCCTATCCCCACTCCGCCCATCGAGCATCACTATGCACCACCACAGCCTGTGCATGTCCCGGAGGAGAAGGTCATGGGCATCCCCAAAGACTTACTTCTGCCAGCGAGTATAGGTGCCTTGGCTGCGGTCATCCTTGGTATCTTCACAATGTCCAGGCTGTCTCGGTAGAAAAATTCCGGAGGATACCCACTCGCTTTCCAGCCTTCAGCGTAGTTTCTCTGTCTTCGCTTGAAGCTCTCATCTCGTTTCTTAATGCATTGATTCACAACTCTCCTTAATACTGTTGACCTAGTTTTGTTTTCTTAATGACTCAATCCCTTACGACCCTAGACGTACGTTGGATGAATGATGTCCTCTCCCAAGAGCCAGATATTTTTATGCCGATGTCAGAGTTACGCGCGTACGTTACGCAGATCTCGATACCTTTTGAGCGTCTGTCGGGTTATCAAGGTTCCGAAAGCAAATCAAGGAGTTCGCGGTCACTGCATGGCGCACTTACGGGTCGTCCACAACGACTAACGCGGATTAGTTGCCCGTTTCCACTAGTCCGCCATCGCTCTGCTGAGGGGCGCAGCATATTTCAAGGGGCGAAGGGCTGTCGCACGCCGTGCATGGCGCCCAAGAGGGAGAGGGATGAGGCCTTGAACGAGTTCGTAAGTGCTCTTACAAGGTTACTGTCAGCCGTACTCCTCATGGCCGTCCAGAGTAATAGGATATTCTCCTCCATGCTGGAGGAGCTCCTTATGGACGTCGTTCTTCAGTCGCACCAGGAGATTGCACGGTCTAAATCCGTCTGCGAGATCTGCCATACACGGTACGCCTTCGTCTTCCATCTTAACTGTGCCTGGGTCTGACTGTTGGAGTGAACTGATCAGGTGCAATGCCGGTGAGAGAACTTGCGGCCCGATTGTCGAGTGCTGAACGTGAACCATCGTAGTACACGTCCCAGGGCCGTCGAATGGGTCTGCGTCTGGGACCACTCAACCTTCTCCAGATAGCGCAAGGCCTCTAGACGGTTCCCCCGCCGGCACGGATACCCCCACTGGAAATATTTATTTCGACTGTTCTGTCTGCAAACGACAGGTGCGCGCTCTGGCGCTGAAGCCCACAGTTGCTGACTCCTCCGTAGATCGCGTCCAATCGTTACGCTCCACATCTAAGTGGCTGCATGGGCTTAGGAAACTCGAGGAGAGGTGCAGCACGGAATGCGTCCAGCAAAGCGAGATCGTCCGATGCCGGGTCACCGTATGTCAACTCCGAAGCTGGTTACGTTTCCGACGAGAGCAAGTCGCCATCGAAGAGCAAGTCCAGGTCGAAGGCTAAACAAGCAGG